GTACAAGGACGATGAGGAAGCCACAAAAAAAAAGGATAGTTCGTACAAAGTACGAAACTCCCAAAAAATTGATCCTGATGCAAGGACAACATCAGGCGAATGGAGTTTTGTGAAACTGATTAATGATGAAATAAAAAAAAAATTAAATTGAAGATTTTCTTAGAAGAATTGTCTTCACAGATGAAACGACATTTCAACTCCATTGTCGACACACCCGTTATTGGTCTAAGGTCTACGGAGAATTTACACAGGTATTTTGAACTTAGAGCCCAGCGTCCTCAAAAGGTAACTGTCTAGAGCGGTTTGTATGGAGAACAAATTATTGAGCCGTACTCCATTGACGCTAACTTAACTGGTATATTTGGATTTTTCGCAACGGCATCAGATAATTCCAGAAATAAGAATATTATCTGGTCCTAGAATTTATGAAATATGGTTTCAACAAGATGGATGTCCAGCCCAAAACATGGGTTTCATTCTGGACCATTTAAATAATACTTTTCCAAACCGTCTCATTACTGGGTCGAGAGCTACAATACTGTGGCGAGCCCGCTCTCCCGATCTTGCACCCATCAACGATTATTTTTTCTGGGGTTATTGCAAATCAAAAATGTATGGTGGTCAAGAGGATCGCGCCGTGAACCTTGAGCAGCAGCGTTTCAAAATTCGAGAAATATATCTAACTGTCACCCATGTGATGCTGAATAATGTTCGTAGAGCCTTCTATGATTGTTTAGGTCATTGTTTATCTCAAGAAGGTGGACTGTTTGAACATTTGCTACAATATCATCTGTTTAGAACTTTTGTTTTTATTTTACCTAATTTTTCTTCTATTTTTTATGTTGAATACATTTTTAGTTTTTCCTTGATGTCTTTTTTAAAATACATGTTTTCTTTTCATAGAATATGAAAAATTATTGTTTCGGTTCGAAAAAAAATCTATCTACATGCTTAATTTTAATTATAAGTAAGTGAAGCTCGACGAATCGATACATCTAAAAGCACGGTCCAGATGCTACGTTTTGCATAACGCTTTGTTTGCACAGTTCAACACGTGATCAGTAATCAGTAACGTAGCGTCTGGACTGGGCTTAAGTCTGTAAAATCATAAAACGTACTGATGTGAACCTGGCTTGTGAACAAACTCAACGAACGTCAAAGTCATCGAAAAAACGACAGCGAACCGACAGCGACAGGTGTTCAAACGGCTGCGGACGATCGTAAATTCGTCAAGTTGGATTCTATATACCTAGTAGCCTGCCCCTTACTGTATACCTATGTATCTATCTAAATATATTTGCATATTCAAATTCTTTATTACCGGTGAATCTACAAACAATACACAGTACAAATAGCTTACATTACTACAATGTACAGTATATCCTGTGGAGGCAACAAAGTCTGTGTGCAGGCCCGTGGTGAAACTCTGCAGACCAGCACTTAAAGTATGATGATGAGCACATCACCACACTTCAAGTCTTACACCCTAAAAAAATCCTTAATGTAAGAACAACATTTTGGTTATTTTGTTTGTAACAATTATTATATAATAATATATCAATCATATATGATTAAAAAATAGTTATGCTAACAAAATTCATTCACACAAGACGAAGTTTTTTTTTTGTTGTATTATAAATTTAAATTTGTATCTATAAGAGAACTTTTAAGTACTTTATTTTTTTATTTACTTTAGAAAGTTTTAATTCATTTGGTAAAAAGTTAAAAATCTTAATTGCACTAATTTTTGAAGCTTTTTTGCCAATATCAAGTGAAGTTTGGATACATGCAATGCTTCTGCCTCTGGTGAAAACGTTTCTAGTATTGTAACAAAACAAGACTTAAGATAATCAATGTTTATAATTAAAGTTTTAGGATAATAAATTTGTTTTATTTTCAAGATCATATTTTCTTTGTATATCCTTCTAATTGATGAGTTCTTACTTGGAATATTAGTTTCACTACTCTATTTTGGATATTTTGTACAAACTTGATACAAAATAGAACATGATCACTTCATCTGGAAAACACAAAAACAATTTGCCTCACAAAGTTGAAGAGTATTTATTCACTATATAGCATTTCCCCTAAAGAGTGTTAATAGGCCAGAATTCTTTAGTATCAGTATTGATAATCTAAACACATCTATTAAAGAGGTTTCTAATATAAAATACTTAGGGATAATTATTGGATTATTAGATATGGTATTGTGGTATGGGGTGAACTTTATAGTTCCGCCATTTTACAGCTCAATGTAATACCAAACTATATTCTAAAGGTTATAAATAAAAAAGAAAAACGTTATTCAACAAATCTTCTGTACAACAAAAATATATTTAATGTTAGGTCCCTGTTTGTTTTTTCTATATGCTCCTATATCCATAAGGTAAAGAGCTAGAGTATGTAAACCATTGCTATGCGACTAAAAGTATAACAATGAACATCACAAATTCCAATTAGCCACAGAAGTATCAATCACTAACAGATTTAATTCTGCTTGTAGAAACTATATATTTAAAAACAAACACACTCAATTCGTCAGATTTTTATAGTCTTATATAACTGTTAATATCTATCTATCCAGTTAAATTTAAGGTAAGTTAAGTTAAACTGCATATTATTTGTCTGCTCTAATTTTTAGTGTGTAATTCTGCTCACTGCACATACAGCTGTTAGCTCAGCTAGGTGCTTTTGCAGTGTTCGGCAATGTTATATTAATTATTGATGATTATTTACTGTATTTTGTGCAATTATTATAATTTATCAATAAATATCAAATTCAGCCGCATTAGACTGAATCTGAATCTATATTGTGCAGCTGACACCCAACCGCAAATCATAATTCAACCATTTCTCGCCGGTATTCGGTAGTGCCCCACTGCTACACTTACCTAGTATAATCGTGTAACAAATGAGATCCTAACCTATTATGGCGTACGGCTTCCCTGGGGGACACCAATTACCAAAAAGAAATAATCAAACCATGATTTGATGCCCTGGATATCAGTGAAACGCAACTTCAATTATTAATAAAAGGAAGTTATTGAAAACTTCTACAGCCAAATGCTTAAAGTCTTATACCAAACATGCTCAACTAGAAGTAGCTTACCAAAATTCTGATTTGAAAACAGTTAGGATCAATTATTATTTTTTTAATAGCTTATTACTCCACGATAGTCTACTGCCGAATGACGAATATGAAAATATATAAGAAAAGAAAGGTACAATAGCTTGTTTACATTACCCTGGCCCCTTACTTCAGTTCTTCAGTGATGATTCATCAATTAGGTTTAATAATATTGAGATAAACAAATCCTTTTATCTTAACTTGCTGAAATGCACCAATTTCAGATTGTTTCGAAAACGTGATGAAAAACCTTTCGAGAATGATCATTATTCAAGTGGTAAAAATTGCCAAAACTACTTAGTGCAAAACAATTATCATTTTTTTACGTAGGTAGCCACTGTATACTATTATTATATGCATCAGATAATGTACTGGTATTACTATGTAGATATATAACTTTTCAATCAATCCACATTGACAAAATATCATCCAATTCAACGACGTCAAATGGACGCTTCATAGACGTCTCAATGCAGGGTAACTTTTGAACCTGTTGGTTCATGTCATAGTCTAATAAACGTCTACTACGTGACGTCCCAAAGAAGTAATATTTTGCAACCTCTTTCCGACATCGAATTTTGGTTAATCGACGTAAATCTATTCAAAACCGACGGCATAACGACTAACATTTGCTGCTTGGGATGTTTGTTGGAATAGGAAGAAAGTCCTGTTGGAAAACATCCTCCAGCATTATAAATGTTTGAATGGATTTGGATCGGACGACTTTTTCGGAGATCTGTTTTTGTATTAAAATTGTATTCGCTAACATCGAATGTTCTCTATCATAGGCCCGGTTTATTCATCTTGAGATTTATTTATTTATTTATTAATCCAGTATCAACAGCCAGTGGCCAATCACAGATACGGTTAAAATACAAATACAAATCAAACAAACTATAGTAAAAACTTACATTGTAAATACATAGATTATAGTCTTAAATAAAGTTAATGAAACAAGTTACATAACTGATAGACTGGCGAGTTGTTGTACAGGTTTGTTCTGGGAAATGTAAGATAAAACATTTTAGTATTTCTCGAGCTTAGGCAATTAATTGCAAATGGTAATTGATTTAAAATATCTGGACAGTCAATATCACCTTTGAGGATTCTGTACATTGTACATAAAAATATTTTAATCCTTCTCTTACTTAACGAGAGCCTGTTAAACAAGCCCAGAAGATAATCATTGTCGCAGCCTCTTTGGGGATAAGTGCCAAACTTTCTGCAGTAACCTTTAAAAAATTTCTCTGAACCCCCTTGATAATGTTAATCCAAACGCTATATTGAGGAGACCATATGGTGCCATACTCTAAAATAGGTACAAACTAAACTGTCAAATTAATGTAAGTTAACATCAATATTTAAGTTTTTTGTATTTCTAATGATAAGACCTGACACTTTTTGAGCACTTTCAACTTTTGCAATAATATGATCAGAAAAAGAGAGACCTGAATTAAATATTATTCCTAAATTTTTCTGTTCATGAACTCTTTTAAGGCTGGTTCCATTGAGAGTATAATCATACTCAATGGTGTTTCGGTTTAAAGAAATTGACATACATGCACATTTATCTTTATGCAGTTTAAAACTATTATCACTACACTAGCTAACAATATTGGTAAAGTCATCCTGAAGCAGATCGCAATCTTCACTGGTTATAACTTCCAAAAACAGTTTAAAATCGTCAGCAAATAATAAGGCTAAAGAATTTTCAACACTCCCAACAATTTTATTTATTGCAATTATGAAAAGAAGGGGTCCTAGATTAGAGCCTTGAGGCACTCCTGAGGTACCAATATAGGTTTCAGATTTGCATCCCTTGATATTGAGATTCATTATATTGACAACTAATGTTTGAATTATTTAATTTCAGCGAAATTTTGGGAGGGCAATTGGGTTCAGCTATCTTGGGAGATGGAAATCCTTTAACTTTGCACTATGTGATGTTCATCCCTACTTTAATGGGACAAGGAACCTATGATCAGCAAGCTGAATGGATACAAAAAGCATGGGAATGTAGCATTATTGGAACATATGCCCAGGTATGATATTTATCATCAACAAAAAAGGCATTTGCTCAAATTCAACGTCATCACTGGCTATACAGTTACAATCTTGCAACAGATTTTTGAATAGCTCTCAGCAATCCCTACTATTTATTTCATGAAAAGTTAGTTTCATCCTGTCATATCATGTGTCAAATTTGAGTTGGATTAAATTTATATTATTTCAAAAACTTTGTTTTCATTTACTTATTCTATAGACTGAATTGGGCCATGGAACATTTATTAGAGGACTTGAAACTACTGCTACATATGACCCTAAAACGGAAGAATTTGTATTAAACAGTCCTACGCTGACTTCTTACAAATGGTGGCCAGGAGGATGTAAGTATACTAATTTTATGTAATACCTATCGAAAAAAAAAATACATAAACATTTTTTTTTTCAGTGGGCCATTCTGCCAATTATGCTGTAGTAGTTGCACAATTACACACCAAAGAAACTTGTCACGGGATCCACTCATTTGTGGTGCAGCTCAGAGACGAAGAGACGCACATGCCCCTGCCAGGCATCAACATTGGAGAAATCGGTTGCAAATTGGGCATGAATAGTACTAACAACGGTTATCTGGGGTTTGAAAATGTTAGAATCCCTAGGACTCATATGTTGATGAAAAATTACCAAGTTTTATCTGTGAGTATTTCATTTATTGCTTCAATGCACTGAAGTCCTGCTGTTCTCATATGTATCGTAATGCCCGAAGTGTGTCTCAAAGGTTTTCAATTAGGCTCTTAAAGTATGGTTGGAAAAAGTGTGTACAATTTGTCTACTTCAATGCACTGAAATTATTGAGCTTAAACACTTCATCACTAAATTCTCCTTCCTTTTAGGATGGTACCTATGTGAGTTCTCCTAGTAGCAAACTAACCTATGGAACAATGATATTTGTTAGAGTAGTACTTGTACAAGATGCAGCTACATATCTTAAGAAGGCCGCTATCATTGCCACAAGATACAGTGCTGTTAGAAGACAATGTCAAATCAAACCAGAGTATGTTTTTATTTTCTTTTGAACTTTTTTCTATCCTAAATCAACAATATCACTTTTTTGCAGGGATCCTGAGACACTAATTCTAGATTATGTAACCCAACAGCACAAACTATTTCCTAATATTGCCACATGTTTTGCTTTCCAATATGCAGCAAACTGGCTTTGGGACATTTACAATGACATAAACTCACAAATGGAATCTGGCAAAATGGATAATTTACCAGAGGTAATCTTCAATGTTTTATTAATTTTAAAGCAACCCTGGAACGCTCAGCAAGTTACTTTGGTTGGCAACAGGGTCGTAGCCACGGGGGTGGGGGGTTTGGAGGTTAAAACCCCGCCCCCCCACTTAATCAGAAAGTATAATTAAAAACTACGAAACCTATGTTATAGCATAAACTTTTTTTACCCTCAAAATTTTATTATTTTCATATAAAGCATTGACCTTGTAATTCTACAAAATTTTCGCCTGCAATGTTTCTTAATTTCAATAGAGAAACCCCCCCCCCCCCCATTTGAATTTTCTGGCTACACGCCTGGTTGGCAATATTTTCCGATTTAAAAGTTTATTGCTAGACTCTTTCTTTTCCAATGATTTTTATGTTTTTAAAAACAGTCATTATAGCAGTTACCAAATAGCAACAAACTTGAATGAAGAAGAGAAACATTTTGACTTTGAACTCTCAGATCAAAGACCCTCATGTTTTTACACCTGTCTAACAAAATTCCTTTAAAAATATTTCAGCTTCACGCAACAGCTTGTGTTTTGAAAGCTGTAAGTACTGCAGATGCTGCCTTAGGAGTGGAAACATTGAGGCTGGCTTGCGGAGGACACGGATACATGACAGCATCCAACTTACCCTCAACTTACGGACTTGTAACCGCTATGTGTACTTATGAAGGAGAAAATACTGTACTTCTATTGCAAAGTGCCAGATTTTTAATAAAAGTTTGGCAAAATAAGAAGAATTTAGGCAATTTGCCCACTGTTAGATATCTTGAAACTGCTTCGCATAAACAAATTCCCTTCCAGAAGAGCGTTGATTGGATTATAGCTGCTCTACAAAAAACTTCTGCAAGCAAAATTGGACTAGCCAATAATCACATCAATGATAGAATAAGGAAGGGCCAAGCAGCCGAGGACGCATGGAATAATACTTCTATTGAATTAGTTGAAGCTGCTGATATTCATGGGCGCACATTTATAGTTCAGACATTCTATGAAACTGTGAAGAGGCTCGATGTTTCTCCAGGACTCCGGACTGTTTTAAATAAACTAGTTGAACTTTATGCTGTTACACAAGCTTTGAAATTATCAGGACACCTTTTAAGAGTAAGTTTGGAATTTTTTAAAGTTATTATTATGAGATGTTATGCTTGATGTCCATCTTGTTATTTATTATTAACATCATTTTCAGTTCATAGATATTAATGGACGTAACATAGAAGCCCTGCAAGAATGGCTTGAAGAGCTGCTAGCAGCAATCAGGCCTGACGCAGTGGGCCTAGTCGACAGTTTTGACATTCGCGACGAAGTTATTGCTTCCGCATTGGGTTCCTATGATGGAAACGTATATGAACGACTCTTTGAAGCCGCCCAACAGAGTCCCCTCAACGCCGAGCCAGTTAATAAGTCATTTAATCAATACCTAAAACCTTTCCTCAAATCCCATATGTAAAATACTCTAGTTATAAGTTTTAAAAAAAATTTAGTTGTATTTTTTTTTCAAGGTTTTTGTTATCATTTACTTATGTATTGTTTAATTGTTAGAGAAACTTTTTTATGTAAGCATAATTTAAATCTAGGTTGAATTATTGAGTCCAGTTTAAAGTAGGCTTTATATCATATACATATGGAATTTGAAATATATGGCATGCATTTACTCGACAGCTGAATCTTTCCAATTCACTAAGACAAAAGTGTAAATATTCAAAAATAAAATAAATGTCTTGCTGATTTGTACATATTAAATCTAGTTATTATTATCTCTTACATTCCAAAGCACGTTACAATCATTAGAAGTATGCACAATTTTGCTTTTCTGTAGTAGTTGCATAAGCGCAATTAACAAATTTTCAGATTTATATGTACAAATTTTAATTCAACTGCACTAAGTTATGTAGTTTGGTAGTTATCTTTATATCCATACTCTATTACTCTATGGAAAGTATTTTGTAATCCATCCGCATTCCACGCATTTTATTTTTATATGAAAATATATATATATTCTGTTATAAGTAAGGGGCTTTATTTGATTTGCTGAAAAATTTTCTGTACAATAACTCAATCTTCAAGATTAAATTATTGTCCTTATGGCAAACTGACACATTTTGTCTCAAGCCAAGTAATCTGATATAGGTAACAGTGATTCTGTTTCCAAACGATCTGGCAGTGGAGAAGTTGCCAAGAAACATCAATAATAGTTATTGTATTCAAAGGATTGAAGGATAAGGCTAGTTTTAAGAGGAAGCAAAAAAAGCAAGATGTTGAATTGGTAAAAAAACTTTATTTAATATTGAAGTAGGAAACTACGCTATTATGGAAGATCTTCCTCTATAAGTAAATAGTTAACTTGCTGCTTTTAGATTAGGTAGGTAGGTACTATAAAATAAGGCAAAGTAATGCATATTATGTTTAATTTTTTTAGAAGATGCCTAGATTTAAGAATAACAGTAGGTAGTACAACAGTAATAAGTACCGTTTTGTTCTGTGTCGCTACACACATTTGAACATTTATATGCATTCTTCATTGACTAACTATTCCAAAAATTATATTGATATTATAAGTGTATTTTTTCTCCTAGATATTTAAATTTGCCATTGAATTAACGTTGATATGAGCAGCAAAACATCTCGGAAGCAAAATTTGTGAGACGAAATGTGAAGGGAAATCGTGGTGGTGAATTTTCCTGATCACATTTTCTTGACTTACCCCCACTGAAGTTCAAGTTATTTTGATTTGACTAAGCAGGTACATTTCGGATATCGGAACTGGAGTATTTTTATTATTGAATAATGTTTATGTATGGCCAATCAGAGAATTTGATCGATAAAGCTTGTCACATTTATAATACAGGGTGTCCTTAGATCAACTGACACATTTTGCAAGTGAATATCTCTAAAACGAGGAAAGATAAAGAAATGCGGTTTGATCTGGGAGAATAAAGATTATTTTAAGTTTTTTTCACAGTATTGCTGAACCTTAAAATTTAATGAAATTTGGTCTTACAGACATGCGATTTTTTGAAATAAAAATATTGCTTTACTTTTAAGGAAACACCCTATATATTTTGCCATCGTTAGAAAGCCGAATTTTCTTCACAGAAATTTTAATCAGTTAATAGAAGCTCGAACAGAACACAAATTATTAATCGATTTTTTTGCATCTAAGTGAGAAAAAAAATCATAATTCCGTTTCTGAGCCTGAGATCTATTCACAGTTTATTCTGTTTCATAAAAAGACCCTACTCAATTAATCCTGACAGTTTGAAGTCCCTCTGATTACTTGAAGTTTCTTTCAGAAGCTTCCAAAGGTGATTTAATAGAAATTTTACGGGGACAATTTGAACTAAGACGCAAAAGAATCACGTTTCGTAGCAAAAACCAGGTGGATACAGTTGAAGCACGAAATGGACATTTCAAATCAACTTTTAAATTTTTAATGAATGACATACTATCTTAATGACACATCTTGCTTATCTCGGCGACCTTTACTCTACACTAGAGAAATGCTAGAGCTATTCTAAATAGATATTATACGAGAACATTAGTGGAGAGTAGAAACAGAAAGTCTAAGAGCCAGACACGGTAGATGGGTTCAGTTAAATCCGAACCACTTACCTAATTTTCCTTGTCTTACTCTAAACCTAAACAATCCAAGTATCTCTTGCTCCGTACAAGACGCCATTTTGCACCATAATGTACAGAACTCTTTTGAGCAAGACAATTGAGTAATAAAACTGGGTTTTTAAGAATTCGCTTATTTTATCGCTTTCGTAATGAGCCAATTTTAGGGTATTATTGTACCTGCAAACCTGAACCAAGAACTCTGGAAACTAGAAGTAGGATAATAAATCTATGCCAACAACTGATCCGGAAAAAACAAAAATATCCTCAATGGGCGACTAGGAGGACCTATTGACATTTTGAAACTTGTCAGACTGGTTAATTAAAACTGAAGGATAACCAGACACGTGCGTATTTGCTGCTGATCTGACAATAGCTGGTTTACAACAGCGACCAGCTGGCAGCCACCGCTGATTGGGTGTGCAGTGTGGGAGAAATTGTGGGTCCAGAATGGGCTTATTTAGGTATCAAAGAACCCACAGATAATGAAGCTGCCAAGATTAATACTTGTTGGCGAGTGAATGCCTATGATGATGATGATTTTTAAATAGGTTCCTTCTAAAATTATATAATTTCAATTAGGTAGAAACTTAGATAATATTTATATTATAAATCTGGTTAAAATGTTTATTATGCCTTTATTCCTAGTATGAAAACCAAGAATGCGACTAATAGTCTAGGAAAATAGTCGAAAAATACATGTATTGCAAAAAAAAAAATCCTACCCAAAAGAACTTTTCAGGGAAGATAGGGGGAGGGTGGGTGATCATAAAACCGAAAATATTGAATATTCACCCCTCTGGCGTTTTGCGCTATAGGGGTTGAAAGTGCGCCATTGGCGATTACTTGGTACCTATTGATTTTACAAAAAAATGTTTCAAATAAAAGATGTGCAAAATTATTTGATCTACAATGTTTATCTAAAGACTTTTTTGATTAAGGGCCGTCTGTGGTCATAAGGGCCTTTTGAAATTTTATAATGAAAATGAAAAATTTTAACCAATGTGAAAAATTTTTCTACAACACATACAACATTTTTGCTTTATGAAGTTTTTACTCACCCCCTGCCGTTTTTCAATAGGGGTAGTTTAAAGTTTATTTATTTTTTCACAAAAAAAATTTCCTTATAAAAGTTATATAAGATTATATTTTCTACAATTTTTCCTAATCAACTTTTTTTGTAACTCACCCCCATTCAGCGGGAAGACTCTTCCCTTAGAGAAATTTTAGTTTTTAGGGGTACATATTAATTTTTTTTTCTTTTCTCGCCTTTAGTGCATATAAAAAGGTGCAATTAACATTGTATTAAAAGGATTTTTTTTCCACCACCTTTTTGTTTTTAGGGGTAGTTCGCCTATTTTCAACTTTACAAAAAAAAGTTATAGAGAAAAGTTGCTCAAAATAATAAAATGAACAAGTTTTTTTAATAATTTTTTTTTGTAAAGTTGAAAATAGGGGAACTACCCCTAAAAACAAAAAGGTGGTGAAAAAAAAATTCTTTCAATACAATGTTAATTGCAACTTTTTATATGCACTAAAGGCGAGAAAAGAAAAAAAAATTAATATGTACCTACCCTAAAAACTAAAATTTCTCTAAGGGAAGAGTCTTCTCGCTGAATGGGGGTGAGTTACAAAAAAAAAGTTGATTAGGAAAAATTGTAGGAAATGTCATCTTATAAAACTTTTATTAATAAAATTTTTTTGTAAAAAAAATAAAAAAACTTTAAACTACCCCTATTGAAAAACGGCAGGGGGTGAGTAAAAACTTCATAAAGCAAAAATGTTGCATGAGTTGTAGAAATTTTTTTCACGTTGGTTAAATTTTTTTATTTTCATTATAAAATTTCAAACGGCCCTTATGACCACAGACGGCCCTTAATCAAAAAAGTCTTTAGATAAACATTGTATATCAAATAATGTTGCACATCTTTTATTTGAAACATTTTTTTGTAAAATCAATAGGTACCAAGTAATCGCCAATGGCGCACTTTCAACCCCTATAGCGCAAAACGCCAGAGGGGTGAATATTCAATATTTTCAGTTTTATGATCACCCACCCTCCCCCTATCATCCCTGAAAAGTTCTTTTGGGTAGGAATTTTTTTTTTGAAAATCGACAATTTTCCTAGACTATAACCATTTATTGGTCGCGCAACCTGGCGACGCGACTTAACCGATAATGCATAAAAGCTTTAGGGCCGTAAATGTCTTGTCAACATTTTTATAAAGTGAGAAAAATTTGAAGTTCTCTTGCATTTGATATCTTTTCACTTACCATAACTCAAAAATGGCTCCTTGGATTTTTTTGTGTCAATGATAATTTTTGTTTGGAATGTCCAGGTGCACAACATATCCAAATTTCAGACAATTTCACCGACAGCCATTTTCCATAAGATTAGTGCGGGGTCCTTTATATGATTTTTTTTGCATCTAAGTGAGAAAAAATTCATAATTCCGTTTCTGAGCCTGCGATCTATTCGCGGTTTGTTTTGTTCGATAAAAAGACCCATATCCAACTAATCCTGAAAGTTTGAAGTTCCTCTAAATTGCTTGAAATATTTTTCTTTTTCTTTTTTTTTTTGCCCTGTTGATGGTACCCTCTTTAACAAAGTGCAATTTTTACGACGACTTCAAGATAATCAAAAAAATACATTTTTGAAAAGTAGAAAAATCAAGCTTTCTGACGATGAAAAAATATACAGGGTGTTTCATTGAAAACAAGGCAGTAATTTTATTTCAAAAAATCACATGTCTGCAATACCAAATTTCAGCAAATTTTAGGATTCGGCATTGGCAATACTGTAAAAACAAACTTTAAAAAACTCCTTTTTTTCCAGAATGAACCGCATCTCGTTCTCTTTTCTCGTTTTTAAGATATTTACCTGCAAAATGTGTCAGTTTATCAAGGACTCCCTGTATAATCTGATGCTAATAACTAAATAAAAAAACAAGCGGTTTGATAGTGTCTCGGAATTCTGGAAGACAGCGACATAAAATAAGCCAAGAATGAAACAATCTGATGAAAATGGTATGTTAAAGCTACGCCGGCCGCTCTGATAAGATTTGCTGCATTAAAAAAAAAAAAAAATCATTAGTGTTACAAGTTTCTGCAGAAATTCTGATTGACCTAATTCAAGTAATTAGCTAATAGAATAAACAGATCATTCGAAAGCCTAAAAATATATAAAATAGTATATTTAATTCTATAGGAGCCCTTGAATCTGACAATCCACAACACTCAGTTGCGATTTCCAAAACTCTCGGATAATACTCGTTCCAAAATTCGAAAGCTTTATAATTGACGGTATTAGAGTCGCTCATCGCGATACTATTAGCCAAAATTAATAATCCTGGTTTTTCTTTCTTGAACGGATCCCACTTTATTGGGTAAATTGTATTTTGTGTAGGATCAGATGTCTTCGCAAAATTAGTCCAAAAGGACATAACTGCATCGGCTATTCTTTTATCTCTTAGATCCCATTCCTGTTGGTCAGGTTTCCAATAAGGAAGCCCCCAGACGTATGTCAAATCGAACAAATGAGGCACTTTCACCCAAGGGGGCAAATTTTTATTGGCCACCTTAGAACTTGGTTTCATATCAAATCTATAGACATAAGTAGGTTGATCTTTGCTTAAATATGAGGCTAGTTGAAGTGTCGATGCAGCATAAGTTTTCTCGACCAAAAATTGCGCAGCTATCGATCTGAATGTATTACCGTCATAATTAGGAACAGCAGGAGCATAAAAGAACATAACCGAATCAACTACGTGCTCGTAATTATACGAACAAGAAGAATCACTACTGTTGATGTTTGGCAGATCCCCATTTACAAGTTCAGTCAATAGCTGTTGCAACGTTTCGTGAGAATATACTGTATTATTATCCCACTCGCCAAACTCTAGACCTTGCTCCATGTTAGTGTAACCTGTTAAAATGGGGACTCTAGCATATTCACCACGCTCGAAAAACTTTTTTGGAGGCTCTGGCAAAAATGGTGCACTATTATTACTCAAATCCTTATCGATAAGAGGTCTCCAATTGATATTTGAAGTCTGTTGAACTAAGGAATTTGGATCGGCGCGTCTCAGACAGTCGATGAGAAGTGAAGTTGGTTTTCTAAGGCAACCAAATTCTTTTGATAATCGACTTATAACAGGCTCGTCTTCTTCAGGGTATCTCACAGCTGACGGTTGAAATAGGCTTCCGCTCATTACTATGACTTTATTAAATAAGGATCTGTAATAAAAACACATTATTAAGAAATGTAATATTTTCAACGTAAGCTTTTCATGTTATCACGCATATTGCTACAGGAAAAAAATATGCTCTACTGCCCTTGACTTTATCAAGTCCAAGCTAGGGTGGGTAAACTTTTTGTTTAATTTGCTTTCAGAACGATATCTGCATAAATAGTTAAGGCCTCAACGTCACGACTAGGTTTTTATTTCGCTAGGCTCTATTTTTGATAAATCGTTTATGGAAATCGCGACACGTTTACGACCTTGGACAACAGCTAATTTCTTTGCGCTAGACTAATTTATTTTACCTTGACTCTGAGTTTATCATATGAATTCCTACACTAATAGCACCGGTCCCATAACCCATGAGGCTTATATTGTCCGAATTTCCACCGAAAAGTTTAATGTTATTTTTCACCCATTGCATTGCGGCCTGCTGATCCATTAGTCCATAATTACCAGACGCTTCCCCATCCATTGTAGTGAAAAATCCCATAATGTTTAGTCTCCAAGCGAAGGTTACAACGATTACTCTTTGACGGTATACCAGCGTGTGCGGATTCCATATCGATGGTATTCCGGTAGTAAAGTTTCCTGGATGTATCCAGATGATTGTGGCAAAACCTTGAGGAGGCGGAGATGCTGAAATAAACATTGTAATGATTAATTTTTCAACAATGGAGGAGTCGCAACAAATGAACAATAGGTAAAAATCAGGAAAATACGCATTGCATTGCAAGATCACCCTAGCTGAGAAGCTTTTGTAGGAGCACAAAGCTTTTGAGAAATTGAAGAATATCGCCGCAATGCATATCATGGAACAAAAAAATTATAGCATCATCAGTATTTTTAGCACTGGTAAAGCAAAATTGTTGCTCTATAAATTTGATAAATATTATGGCATTCGAGATATCCCAGCTTACTTTAGTAGTGGAGAAATGACAGTCTGAATGCCTTGATGAATGAATCTTTTTCGGAGAGGGAAATCATCATTGAAAATGGTTTAGTAATGACCTATTACCATGGATACGCGAAGCACTAATTATTTATGAATACGCTTTGTTGTGTCAGCATAGTGCAGAGATATGTCGTACTAAAACGTTCATTGCTTATTCGTCTATCTGTGGTCATAAACCATGTGTTATTAAGGGCCAGTTTATTCGCCTTCTGATAATCTGTCAGGTATCAAATTTGAAGGATATATAAATGCAATCTGTAATCTCATTGGTCGGCCAGTTATCCGCCGACCAATAGAATTATAGAACGGTTATTTATCTTGCAGATATTACGATAAACTTCCTGGTAACTATCCGCAAGATAAATTTACCGTTAAATAATTCTATTGGTGGCGGATAACTGGCCGACCAATGGGATTACAGATTGCGTTTATATTTGTTAGCACTTGGGTATACCTGACAGTTTATCAGAAGGTGAAAAAACCAGGCCTAAATGTTTTAAATTTATAAAATAAGAAAGTGTAGCGCTCATTGTGCGAAACCTGGTATACATTTAAAGGTAGATACGTAGGTACTGTAAATAACAGCAAAGACAATTTTTTAGATAATTATAGCTAAAAACTAATTGGGTAAAAAAATACAATGCCATCAGTGAAAATATTCTGGAACGCCATAAATGTAAACTGAACCGCATTATTCTCACATTTTCAAACTAACAAATTTTCTACTCCACGATGAGGATTTATTGTCGCAATCGATATAACAACCTGTTTAAGAAAATCTGCGGTTGTCCTTGTCTGGCTCACGAAGTCAGGGGAGCAAGCCAACTTTTGTCGTGCCAGATTGCAACCCTTGACATCCAAGAAAGAATTTTGGGCACGCGATCTAAAAGTTTTGGTCGGGATCCATATTATGCGTTATGAAAATTGAGACTTTCGAAAAGTTGATTATTGTTAAATTCTAAATTGAAAAAGATTTTGATGGAATATACGAGTTGTAAGCAGTTTTGTTTTGTCATGAACCCTAAAAACTGCCGGCCATGTCAACGAACACTTCGCCTATCCCAAAAAGTCCACTTATCTAGTGATTTAAATCTGTCCCCAAGAAAGTCCAGAAAATTGCTGCATAAAAACACTCCTCGGCTCTCTAATCGCCTCTTTTACTCAAGGTGCGTGCAAGATAGCGTAATGAGACACAGGCACGCTAGAAAATGGCGTTAGCGCTATGCCTATGTCCGGTCCTGTGCACGTATATTTTGTTTATGTTCATGCAACCATTGAAAAGTGAAATTCTGCATTTATTGACTGTTAGTTTTTTCAGAGTGTTTCCTTCCCTGCATTTGTTTTTGTTCGAGATAAAACTGTTTTGATAAATATTTCCAGTTCTGGATTCAGGAGACTTTTGCTTGTGAATCAAGGTTTTTCTTACGTCAAAAATCTGCGGACAGGGTTAAAAAGTCGCGGCGGAACGGTCTCGTATTTTAGAAACACCTTGATGAATAAAATTAGTTGCTACAGGGGGTTCTAGGGGATGCCCGATTCAATTGTTGCCAATATTTCCAGATAATGTTAATGTAGGAACAATTTAGGTACATCAAAAGCGGCTTTATCTTACCACAGAATGAAGCGATGCCAAAAAGGCAGGAGCAACTAGTTCTTCCGCGGAACGTATTTCCTAACCAGCCAACTTCACAGGTAGATTAGCAACATGCCAAGTTTCCAAATCCATTTCTATGTTAGTAATCGTTTCAACAGCAAATCTTAATTGATGATCGAAAGCTCGTAGTAATCTATCTGGTGATAGGATGGACAAGTGCGAATTATATAAATTATCTCTGGAATGCTATAACAATGGCGAAGTAGAAATAAAGCTTGTTGAGAAGAAATAGCGTTCGAACGGAAAGTCTTGAGAGCGAGTTCATCAATTTTATTTGCAATAATGCAAGGTGCAGCTTCATTAGTCAAAGGGCTACCTAGTGACAAATCTTCCTTTGTCATAAAATTTATATCTGCCGAAAAACGTTTCAATTTTTCTTCGATTCGACGAAGATTCAAAAAAGAACCACCATAGAAAAAAGCTTCGCATTTTCCGCAATTCCAAGCCATATTCGTCTTTTGCTACGGTACCTAATAGTTGAATATCTTGAAGAACGGTGTTTGAAGCTCCACCCAATACAGCTTCGTCCAAATACCATAAAACCAGAGCAGAATTTAGTCGTTGCGCTAAAGGTGCTATAGACATGCAGAATCCTAGCGGTGCAACTGGATCACCTTAGAGTCCCCAAGCAAAATAGTTGGTGTGTTCAAGGTATCTCAATTGAGAAGGGTACCTAGCATCGAGAAAATTTAGAAAGGACGATGCACACTTTAGATGAGATTTCAAAAAATCCACGATTTTAATGAAATTTTGGTATGTTATAGATTTCGATCTGCTGATCAAAAGTTCTCATTGTCCCAAGATGATCCTATGACTGGTTTCCGAAATACAGTGGCGGGTATGGGGCTACCCAAAAATCCGAGTAAATAGAAATTCTTTCAAAAACGGTAAACTTTAATACAAAAAGTGTCAAAAGTGATAAAGACTACGTTTATTTCACGCGTGGATACTAAGTGGATTGGATTAGGGTGGAAATATCCATATTTTCGCAAAAACCCTTTTTTCGATGAATCGCAATTATTAGAGTTTACCCCTTGAATCACCCTCAAAGTAACTTGCAAGTTAAATTAGGTTCCCTAAACGGTGTATATGTAGGTACTGCCTATAACTTCGAGTACCATTCGCACCCGAAGGGTGGAAATGTTCATATTTACCCCTATGCCCATGGATCGCAATAATTAGTTTTACCCCTTGAAACCACCCCTAAAGTAATTTGCAAGTCAATTGAGGTTCCCCAAACCCCCAAAAAAAATATTAGAAATTTTCACAGAAACCATTTTTCAATGAATCGCAATTATTAGTTTTACCCACTTAAACCACCCTCAAAGTTATTTGCAACTCTTTTAAGGTACACTAAACGGTGTATTTTGGTACTGCCTACAACTTCCAGTACAATTTGCGCCCGAGACTAGGGTGAAAATGTTCATTATTTTCATATATTATTTTATTTTAGTGTAACTTGAACATCCGTTTTTTGTATAAAAAGTATGAATTATATTTTTTGAGTACCTTCTGTAGATAGAAATTGTGTCCTGACATCTACCATTGTTAAATTAGATGACTATGGCCAATAAAAATAGGATTTAATCAATTTTAACAGTTTTTGTATTAAAGTATACCTTCTGTTAAAGAATTCTATTTCTTCGGATTTTTGGGTAGCCCCATACCAGCCACTGTATTTCGGAAACCAGTCATAGAATCATCTTGGGCCCATGAGAACTTTTGATCGGAAGATCAAGATCTACAACATACCAAAATTTCATCAAAAACGTGGATTTTTTAAATCTCCATTTAAAGTGTGCATCATTCTTTCACTCCCGCCTAATACCCGCTCCCACCTATTACCCGCGGTTAAACTTAACACGATTTTTTTAGGATTTGTGATCCTCTACTAGGATAAGACTCAATTAAAATTTCAGCTCTCTCTCTGAAATTTCACTCCCGCCTAATACCCGCCTATCACCGGCTCCCGCCCATTACCCGCGGTTTAACTTAGCTCGATTTTTTTTAAGATTTGTATTCCTCTACTGGGATAAGGCTCAATTAAAATTTCAGCTCTCTCTGAAATTTCGTTCCTGCCTAATACCTGCTCCCGCCTATTACCCGCGGTTGAACTTGACTCGATTTTTTTAAGATTAGTAATCCTCTACTAGGATAACACTCAATTAAAATTTCAGCTCTCTCTCTGAAATTTCGCTCCCGACTATCACCCGCACCCGCTCATTACCCGCGGTTAAACTTAACACGATTTTTATAAGATTTGTAATCCTCTACTAGGATAAGACTCCATTGAAATTTCAGCTCCCTCTCCGAAATTTCGCTCCCGCCTATAACACGCCTATCACCCGCTCCCGCCCATTACCCGCTATTAAACTTAACAAGATTTTTTTAAGATTTTTAATCCTCTACTAAGATGAGACTCAAATAAAATTTCAGCTCTCTCTCTGAAATTTCGCTCCCGCCTATTACCCGCCTATCACCCGCTCCCGCTCATTACCCGCGGTTAAACTTAACACGATTTTTATAAGATTTGTAATCCTCTACTAGGATAAGACTCCATTGAAATTTCAGCTCTCTCTCCGAAATTTCGCTCCCGCCTATAACACGCCTATCACCCACTCCCGCCCATTACCCGCTGTTAAACTTAACAAGATTTTTTTAAGATTTGTAATCCTCTACTAGGATGAGACTCAAATAAAATTTCAGCTCTCTCTCTGAAATTTCGCTCCCGCCTATTACCCGCCTATCACCCGCTCCCGCCCATTACCCGCGGATAAACTTAACACACGATTTTTTAAAGATTTGTAATCCTCTACTCAATTAAAATTTCAGCTGTCTCTCTGAAATTTCGCTCCCGCCTATTACCCGCCTAGGCCGCCTATCACCCGCTCCCGCCCATTACCCGCGGATAAACTTAACACGATTTTTTAAAGATTTGTAATCCTCTACTAGGATAAGACTCAATTAAAATTTCAGCTCTCTTTTTGAAATTTCACTCCCGCCTATTACCCGCCTATCATCTGCTCCCGCCCATTACCCGCTGTTAAACTTGACACGATTTTTTAAAGATTTGTAATCCTCTACTAGGATAAGACTCAATTAAAATTTCAGCTCTCTCTCTGAAAGGACGATGCACACTTTAGGTGGGATTTCAAAAAATCCACGATTTTAATGAAATTTTGGTATGTTATAGATTTCGATCTGCTGATCAAAAGTTCTCATTTTCCCAAGATGATCCTATGACTATGGTTTCCGAAAGACAGTGGCGGGTACTATTTTGATGTTTTACTATATTACTTGTTCTTATAAATACTTGTCGACCTCTGGAACAGGAATGATTGAGCTTATGATTTGCCGAGTGCGAAGAAAGTATTGTCGTGAAATGACCCGTTAAAGGATTTATTACTTATTAGATAGGTCACATTTAGTGGCATGTTAGTTTAAATCTTCTGATGTATCAATCAGGGTATGGTGAACATTACAAGATATGATAAAACACTATGGCTTCTAGAGACTGTCCTGTAGAGACCTCTTAAACGTAATTTTTTTTTCACAAATTGTGCATTCATTATTCAAATTTAGGATAATAGTTTCAGAATTGTCACTTTTAAAGTTTTTATATACCTATCGTATTAGGAAAATCGTCACAAATTTCCAATTAATTTTTTCTTGAAGGACGTCTTGTGAGGATATTGTAAAATAGGTACTTGATAGCATCTGGGGTATTATTTAATCTTGGTTATTTTCTAAGTAGGTACATAAGGGTTTTTGTCAGAGGAACAATATGACTAACTGTCAGAATCGTTCGACATGACTCTTTTTTTCGGATAGGTAGTTAAGTGATTATAACGGTTCTGTTATTGATTAGTGACACGTCTTCTACCGCTTCTAGGTCTAACACGAGGAGAATTGTTCTGGAGATAGCGATTCCAGGTGCGAGACACAACACTTTTCCAAGCATCAACTCTATTAGCCACGAACCTTTGAGAATGACCTTTTTCAAGTAAAGCCGCTATTCTTATTGCTTGTCGAGGCATCTTTGCACGTAAATTCGTAAAGTTCAACTGTCTTGGGTAGAAAGTCGCACCAACGATTCAGAAAGATAAACATTGATAAACAAATTCACAAAAAATTGCTGCTGCTAAAATAGTTATTTTTGCATCTAGTGCGCGAAATGCTACTTTGGTGATCGAGAACTGATATTTGAACGAGGCCGAGCCGAGTTAAAAAATAGTCGAGATCACCAAAGCATTTCGCGCACGAGTTGCAAACAATAGTTTTTCTACTTTTTCTACAACTCCATTGAAACGATGATTCGAAGCTTAAATTGCATTTACAGAATCAAAGGCAGGTGAATTTTAATTATTTTTGGTTCCCTGTCAGGTGTCAGGTATTTGTTACCTGAGTGTGCGAACTAGGTATTTCGCACACTGGAGAATCATTTCGCGCACAGTGTCATGGGAACGATAAAAAAAATCTACCTAGGAAAAAAAGTGTCACTTCGCAAATTGTCATCAGTGTGCAAACATCATCATTTTTTGACAGTTGTAGAAAAAAATTATTCGCAAGGTGATGCAAAACTTTTAAATCTATGTGTATTTGGTTATTAAGCTTTGTCAATGAATAGGATTTATTTTGGACAGTAAAGCTAGTTAGATTGATTTGTTACGCAATTACATTTGGTGCGGAGAAGCCGAGGCCATTATTAGGACCCGAGCGAATTGTTGTTTATAAAACGCTTAGTTTGTAAATCAGTTCAAATATAACTGGTTCGATTCAATTCAATTAGTTCAAAAAAATGTGTGACAGATTGTGTGCATGTGTTCTTATAAAAATGGCAATATTTTTTAAAACTTTCCAGCAGAAACAAAGTTCCACCTTTATAAAAGTCTAAGTCAATGAGGTAGATAAATATGTAGTTTCATTTATAATGCCAACATTTGATATTTCCAAATTGAACCCCCGAAGTTGCTGAAGCTTGAATGCTAGTGGGGATTGGGGTTAATAAACTATGATAATATCTAGTATTTGGAAAAAAATCAAAACTAGCACAGAAAGGAGAGGATAATTTTTCCTTGCGGAAAAATTAATAGCATTATCTTTAGGAGAATGGCTAAAGAGAAAAAGTATCGAGAGTAGAGTAGGTTTCTCAGAGAAGAAAAGCTTACAGTTTGAAGATTTGTTTCGTTTCCGAAAAGATGAGGATGAGCAGCAGCATTTCTTTTGTTGAGGCGACAATCAAATAATTATAATAATCTGGCAAATATAGGCTACTTGCATGAAAAATTAAATTGATTATTGTTTATTGCAAACTGTGGGAAATCGAAAAAAAATCGTTACTTTTTTTTTTATTTCGTCCAAAAATGATTATTCCGAAAGTTATACAAATATTAAGTTTTTTATATATAGATATACTGAGCATGTGCGACGTCACAACGTATTATACCTAAGTTATGACGTCGGAGAGACATTTCAAAGCGTTGTATCTCCGTCAATTTTTGACTAACAAGAAAAAGAAAAAACACGCGTTGACTTATTTTTCATGGACTATCGAAATCAGCAATAAAAAAAATTGATGCAAGGGGCCTATTTTAAGCATTTATTGATAATAAAATAACTCATTCCGATTGCATGTAAGCCAGCCGTTTTATCCTTTCTGCATTGGTTCGATAAAAATCTCAACTGACCATAAGCGGTAAAATAATAAAAGGAAAATATCGTAGCACTCCCTCACCATTTCAGCTTTAAAGTATTGTTGCAATTAAGTCAACTTTGAACTTTTGAAAAATTTTATTACCCCTTCAAACACTTTTAGAAATGAGTTGTTCTCGGAATTGCAAATAATCATTTCTGCGAATAACGTAATTTCTTGAGTCAAATTATTAAGTGCAATTTTACCAGATTTAATGGCGCTACAAGAAGTGCAACGAACATACATGAATCACAGTTGAGAGGAAGTTTTTGAATATTTAATTATTAATTTAGCCAATACCTAGTATAGATTTCTTACTTGAATGAGCTTTGAAAAAATGTCCTATAAATTAATAATTATATCTACTAATAAAACTAAACTTTAGATAACTTTAGGCAAAGTTTACTTTCGGATGCATGGTTATGGATAAAATTATGTATTCAATTCGTGATTCACTTCTTTTTCAAATTATTATCCCGCTTACTTACTTGCTGCTCCTGGGCTAAGTTTTTTTTGCGTAACCTTTGTGTTTATGTTTATTATTTTTCTTGTGTTATGTTTTAAACCCTAACTATTCTCATATTTTCAGGTATCTTTTATTGTATTAAATTATAAGTTTTGTTTAAAAACCTTTATTGAATGCTTGTCACACTTATTTACTTCAAAAAATTGAAAAAAAACAAAGAGCAAATATATGAAATATTAATTATTTATTAAAGCACAGATCATCAATAATTTGATTTATTACTCCTAGCTTGGCCAAACCCGCACTTATCGCGTTTCAAAATACAAAATACTTATGATTTTGAGAAAACATAATTATTAGTATATCTAAGTATTTTCAGGTCAAGATTAGATATTACGAATTAATGCTAAAGTATAACTTTGATGTTTTCCAATTAAACCAATTCACTTACCATTAGGCACAAAAATATTCAAATACAAACAATCTTCGCTGATATTACTAGGGAAGTCGATGTCCGAGAGAAGTTGCAAAAATGGCAATTCAGATTCTTTATAATCTTCTTTGCCTTGCAAGCACGACGGCTGATAATCCGAATCGTTTTTAATATGACTCCAATCTGGCAATGGATTGGTAACCGGAGGGGCAAATCTTAGAGCACCAAGTGGAGGTTGTGCGTAAGGTATCCCGTAAAAAGCAACGATTTTCTGTATTCTAACCTTTGACAATTCAACTCCTTGGATTTTTCCTTGATTCGGAATATCGACGACGTGTAGCTGAGCCAAGCCTATTGAAAAAAATATTGCAAGGCACAAAATTTTAAATTCCATTGCATGAATAATACAAGTGGATAGAGGCATGATTATTATTCGCGGCAAAAACTTGGGAGCGGTTGTAACTTGAGGAAAGTCCCGATTTCGACTGCACGGACTTGATGAAGGAAAATGTTGCGTGATAAAGGTTCCCGCTCTCGTTGTTTATTTGCCGATCAATTTGTATTTTCACAAAATGGGTCAGAAGGGCCTCTATTGCTATTTTATTGCGTTCACAACTGGCAATGTTTCATGTGTGGATGTTTTGGCAATCAGTATTGGGCGCTAGACAAAACTATTTTAGGCTTAGGTACTACAACGGTACACTTTTTTTAATAAACTTTGTCAAAAACTCGTATTAAAAGTGGCAAATGCCATCTTGAAGAGTGGTTTTTTGATTTAATTTCAAAAAAATGCATGAGTTAGTACCTACCCATGTTTCCCCATATATTGACACCCCACTCTACCTTTACAGGTAGAAGAAAGGTGTAAGTAACTACAAAAGTTTTAATTAACGCTTTCGTATTTCTCCCCAATTTTCCAATTTCAAAAATGTATACCTACGTTTTCTACGTTCGGTTGGACCGGTTTAAATATATCAAGCTCTAAAAATTGTGAAAATATTTTAAGGAAAACCTGCAATCTGAAATTTTGTGAACAAACCATTCTACCTGTCAAAGTAAAGAAGGCTGGGATTGGGGTGGATTCACATTCATAAAGTTTGAAAAGCAATTGAAATTCTCATTACTTTCCGTCTCAAAGGTCATACACAACTAAAGAGCAAGTTACCCAAAGTCCTCTAATTTTAAATTCTGACGATGATAAAAAAAAAAAGAAACAGAAACACCTACAGATAGCATTCTTATCAAACATTTTTCGATCGGACAAAGTTATTTTGCGACTTACCTACTTTAATGCCAATGTTGGCAGAGACGCCGGTCTCTGGAATCGCACCGAAGATATCCATAAATTATCCATCCGAATTTTGCCGAAATCGTTTTTATTTTTTTCTAACTTTATTTGAAATAATATCGCAACACAAACTTCACTCTCGTTGCCACTTTTTCCCCACTACATGATTATGTTATTTGATTTTTGATCAGACGTTTCGTTTCTTCGCGATCATTATCAACTTTGTTTTTTCAAAATTTCGATTTTTTTTATTTTATGCCTAATTATCTCAACTTTTTATTCTAAATCCAACGACATATCAAGTTCATATTTCCAGGAATATTAATTGCCACTAGTGGTTCCATTAACAGGCCTCCGCGATCTCCAGACGTTACGCTTAAACTTCCTGGATCGAGCACACACTCATTCAGTTGTAGGTTTTGGCAACAGTGTCACAAAGATTTTTGCCATCAATTCTTTATCTTCAAACATTTCGTGCTTGGTAACAGATAAAATAAGGAACAATTTGCCTGAAATGTCATTCAATACTAATCAGTTGAGGATCTCAAAAAATATATGGCTTAGCTGACGAAGGGTTCAACATAAACAGTCCAATTGGCATGCTTATAGGAAATTCTCATTTTTGGAACTTAATTTGTGTAGGGCAAATTACCTTAACTGCTTGTAATGCCGTTGCACAAAAAACTAAATTTGGCTGGATTCTGGTAGGTCTTTTAATTTTTTTCCCAACTCCTCGTTATGCAGTTTAGCCCCTGACTGCATTGAGACATCCTCATTACAGAAGCAATTAGAAAAGTTTTGGCATATCGAGGAATGCCAAACAAAACATTTTTATTCTCCTGAAGAAACTGAGGAACATTGAGGAACATTTTCGTCAAATAACTTTTCCGTGAGCAAACAGGCAAATTTGTCGTAAACCTACCTTTCAAAGATAACTTTTCAGATTTAGGTAGGTAATTTGTTAGATGGTGCATTGGAGAGATTTTATAGCATTAGAGAAGAAACTCAATAATTAATGACCCAGTTTTAAAGTCACAATATAATGATTTTCTGCTGGAATATATTAATGTCGGCCACATGAGTGAAATTGACCCATCTATTCTACCAAACTATCCAAACCAAGAATTTTACCTTCCTCATCAAGCTGTTTGCAAAGCTTCCAGTTCAACAACTAAGCTGCGTGTCGTTTTTGACGGTTGAGCCAAAACTTCCAGCGGATTGTCTTTAAATGACACTGTCAAAGTAGGGCCTAAAATACAAGATTATTATTCGTTTCAGGACATACAAATTTGGCTTCACTGCTGCCATTGAGAAAATATACAGAGCTATAAAAGTCGTTCAAAATCATAGATTCTTTCAAAAAATATTATGGCGTTTCAATTCCTCTCGAAAAATATCCCATTACGAGTTGTTGCAACACTCTCTGACATACGGCGTAGCTAGTGCTGCATTTTCGGCTATTAGGTGTCTTCAGCATTTAGCTGATGAAAATAAAAATTGGTTCCCTAACGCTTGTAGTAAAATATCTTCTTCTTTTTATGTTGATGATTTTCTGTGTGGTTCCGATTCCATAGAGGAAGCAGAAAGGCTAATTTCTGAAGTTAATGAAATTCTTGAAGCTGCTGGATTTAACTTAAGAAAATGGGTGGCCAATGACAAAATAGGGTTCTCAGTAACTTATTGAGAGAATCATCTTCATCAAATCACAAATTACTGACAGATGCTGAAACCACTAGGAATCTTGGTCTAATGTGAAACTCCAAAGAGGATGTTTTCCAATACACAGTCTCTCTATCTCGTACCATCACACTCATAACTAAGCGTTCCATATTAGCAATAACTGCCCAAATCTTCGATCCCATGGGTCTTGTTGGTCCTTCTATCATCAAGGCCAAAATCATGATTCAAAACTTATGGCAGCTACGCTTGGATTGGGATGAAAGCATTCCAATGAATTTACATCATTCTTGGCTCAATTTCTGTGAACAAATAAAAATCTTTTGAATGAAATTAAAATTCCACGAATATTTTTTGCACAGTAGATTTCCACGGTTTCAGTGATGCCTCGCAAAGAGCTTATGGGTTCTGCTGCTATCTAAGTTCTTACAATTCTTTGGGTAAAGTAATTGTTCAATTAGTTTGTTCAAACTCAAGAGTAGACTTTGTCATTGCCACGTCTTGAATTATGTGCGACTCTTTTACTCACAAGAGTCTCCCAGAAGCCATTTTCAGCCATAAAGCACAATTCGCAATTATTACTATTGGACAGATTCAACTATTGTTCTGGCAAGGCTTGCACTGTAACCCAGTCAATTAAACACGTTTGTTGCGGACAGAATCTCCAGAAATACAACAATCTACCACATTTCTAGGGGATTAGATCCAGATAAGCTGAAGAATTGGGTGGTTTGGTCCCGAGTTTTTACAAAATGAATGCCATGAATGGCCGCAGTCATGTGTCAATTTGCCAGACCTACCGGGTATCAAGCTAAAAAATAATTTCACCCTCATCACTCTATCTTACGACAGGTAGTTTCATTGATCGCTTTTCAACATACACCAAACTTAAACGAATCGTAGCATTCTCCTTTATATTTATCAATAATACAAGGTGTAACAGGGAAACAGCACGTTCTTACGGTGCTTTGGCCAAGCATGAGTTCGAAAAATCTACAATTGCATTATATAAAGTTGTCCAGGTTCAGTATTTCTCAGAAGATACTAAATGTTTCGGAGCAGCTAAGCTCCTTCCAAGGAAAAGTAAACTTTTACGTCTAAACCCATTTCTACATACTGACCATTTAATTAGAGTTGGAGGTAGACTGAAAGTTTCAGATTTCTCTTTTAATACAAAACATCCAATTCTATTGTTGCCCAGCAATACACATCTCACACCATTAATTGTTAGATATGAACATCTGAGACACTAACATGCCGGAGCCCAAACGACGTTGTCTGCAATAAGATTGAATTTCTGGATAGTCAATGGACGTCATATTTTCCAAAAGATGTTGCCTCAATGCGTCACATATTGTTTCCGACCGAACCCAACTCAGAAACAAAATTTATTGGGGGATTCACCTGCGGCTCGGGTGACTATTCAAAGGCTGTATAGAGAATAATATTTTACGTAAGTTTTGTTTTGCGTTGTTCGACGTCAGATGCACTGGAAAAACCGATTTTCATGACCTTTGACCTTTCATATCTCAAGACGCACAAGGGTAGGCATATTCGATTTTTTTGTGCTTCATTAGAACATCAAAACGAAGGTCTCTGCAAAAATTCAACTTGTTCGGCCTCATTTCGCAGAGAAAGTCTAATTTCCCTGGGGTAATGTTGTAGGTATCATTATCAGTTCTTAGTTCATCAGATGATAATATACCTACATTATTTAATATTTAGTTAGTTTAAGCATTTTGACCGTTAGTCTTTTCGAAGGGGGCGGTATATGTTTGGATTGTCATAACGTTTTCCTTTTTTTGTGTTTAACCCTTCGTCAGTGTGGTGGGGCATACCCTAGACGACCTCTATATCCTTGCATTTTCCAAATTCGAGTACGTGACGCCAGCTAGTGGCCAGTAGCTTGAGATATTATGTTGATCTACATAATAAAATAACGCGAACCGCCAAATATTGTATCATTCGTGAATAAGGTGACATCAAAGACGATTGGGGCATGTCATACCCCACCACACTGATCGTGTAACTATTTTCTGCAGAAGTAGATACGCAAGATATGTTATTTCTTATCAATTTTTCGCTCATAATACATTTTCCTATGTAGTAATAGACGAATATCATGTCATACGAGGCAGAGCAAGCTCATTTGCGAAAACTATGGGAAGAGGTAGATAGAGAAAAATCCTCGCCTCTGAACAGGCGAGACCAGGGTTTTGAGACCATTGAGTCAAAAAAATCAGCTTGGTCTCATGAAAAACCAAAACAAACGATGAAAAGTTTCATCAAGATGTATGATTTGTCCTCGAGCTAAAGACAGGAAGATATTTTACTGCTGTCAAAAATGTGGGACATCCATATGCGTGGAACATGCAAATTTACCTTTTTTGTCAAAACTGCATCAACTTTGATGCAGCCTAAAATTTTAT